CAATAATGTATATAGATCACCTCTGAGCAAATCGCTCGAACGGTATTCGTACAGGATATCCTGCCCGACGAAAATGTAGAGTCTCCATGATGCAAAGAGCTTTCAGTTGTCGCGCCAGCGAGGGAACATCGAGACGAGCTGGGAGACGTTCGTTGTTGCACTTCACACATCGGACAAAGTGCGAGTTCCCGCTGCAAAGAGTTATTATTATTTCAACAAACGAATTGAACCTTTGAGTACAGTTGCGGAGCCTTATAACTCGTCGCGCGCGGTAATCGTAGCGATCAAGCGCCGCACAGCTTTATGAGCGAAGGGTGTATTTCAGGGCATCAAAACAGCAGAATCGTGCTCCAGCCGGCATTCCTAACTAGTTCAGTGGACCCGGCACTCAACCATCAACTCAGATGTTCTATGGCAACGTTGTTGAAAAAAGACCGTAAAATGGACTATATACAACATAGGCTGCCACAAAAATGATTTGAGAAGAAGGTGCTGGCATCTGTTGTGTCAACTATCCAGGAATACTTGCTGAGTTGCTCGTATTTTGACCCGGCGTCGGGCTGTTTCCCGCAGTCCCACTGTTGGGCGGCCAGCCATTGATGGAAATTGGCTAGCACCTCGCCAAACGTATGTACGTGAGGACACCTCCCTCCGACGTGCCGATGAGCGCTGCAGTACCGCACTATGGATGTCTTGATCTACATCCATGAGCGGTTGTAATGCTGCGCGGTGTGAACAAGGCAATGAGTCCTTACGCAATTGCAGCACAAATGTCGCGAACACGCGCGCGACGCGCGGCGGGATCAGATGTACAACGCCTGCCAATCACTGGCACAGCGTGCTTCCTACTGAACATCATCACATTTTAGCATACAAGGAGGACCTACCTCAGAATTTTCTCCACCATCGCAGTGGATGCCGTATTGAATTGTTGCGCAGCGTAGACAACATAGTCGGCACATTCCTTTCCATTAGCTATTGGACGGAATAGCATGGAAATCACCTGCATAACCATTTAATTCAATAAGGTAAAGTTACAATACAGAGCAATTTGTAATTTCACCGGGTTTTGGCTTTCGGCCAGAATCTTCACCACTTGACCGGGTAAAGAGCGCTTGTTCCGTTGAACAAACCCATGAACACTGTACCATGTAGTGCCAAAAAAGTGCCGTACAGACATTTGTAGGCGGTCTTTGTTCTTCGCCTCAAAATAATTCGTTCAATAAGTAACTCTTAAGTAACATAACGCTACCACAACGTTATCCTTCTATTACTTATAGAGGGAACGAAGTTACCTTTCCATACACATTTTTGTCGAGATGATTCAAGTTGCAATGTCGCAAATATGACTCATCGGAAGCCTAAATAGTAGACGCCATAAAGATCCTCCAACAATCAATGTATCGATTTTTGGACAAAACTCAATAAACACGAGCTGTACGCGAAACCTCGTGAGCAATACTTTCAACGCTTGAATGGAACACTAACTTTTGGGAATTTGCATTCATCATCGATAAGGTAGAGCAAGCCATAGGGTTTCTTGCAGAGCAGATCAACGGCCTTGTCATTGTCGAGTGTTGATGGCATCTAAGGACAAGAAGTATTTGAAACGCAAAGTTTACTAATTTCCAAGGTACTTGTGCATCCAAACAATAACTCATCAGCTATCGTAGCATATGGTACTATCTTTTCAATTAGTAGGGATATTGTGGACTTAAAGGCACATTTCGCCTTAATCGTATGGGCAAAACCGCTCCCACCGCTGCTCTTCCCTCATTGGCGTACTTCGTTTCTTTGCCACCCTTAAAAGAGGAACCCGGTACACGTTCGGCCAACGGACAACTGAAACCCAGTCCCTTTAATGGCGCCAACTTCCTGTTTTTGTCAGCGCTCTTCATGTCTCCATGGCGTTCTGTAACCACCTTGACCTTTCGCGTACCAGCTTTTCACGCATAGTATGTGGCTCATCCACTCCGGAGTCCCTTTCCTCCGAGAAAAAGCCATCTCCTAACATACAGCATGTTTTTTTGTACCTCTCGATGCCTTGGCAGCCGCAGTTCTTTACTTCTCTGCGCTCTGGCCTTCCGCAGCAGGACCCCACCAAAAGTGTTAGTTGTCACGTAACCACGTTCCCATGTGAGTCCGCGCATACGAATTTTTTAGATTTTTTGGTACTACAAGGTGAATCCTACTCCTTAACTCACACCACCTAGACGCTTTTGTTCTAGCAATCTCTTACAGGATGCAGTCAGAAGACGTAAAAAGAAAATTGTTACCTTCCAAGTCGAATATAAGCCCTTCACTGACGTAATCTGATATTTCATCGAAGAAAGTCTGTTTAACGAAAGCGTTTTGTAGCTTTTCATTAACACTATTGATCAGCAGCTGTTCCAGACCGTT